TGGATTTCCCGTCCTATAAATAAGTTACCGGGTTTCACATACAAAATGCACATACAATGCGGACTAGTTGAAACGACAAGTTCGCAGAATGAATTTGTCTGAAGAAGAAAAAAAGATTGCAAATATGTTAATCGGAGAAATTTTCTCTCCGGCGCGCGTTTATTTGGCTATCGGCGTTTTCTTTTTGCTCGCGCTTTAATATGCGCAGAACTTGTCTCTACGGATTTACGAGACCCCATCCTTTAGGTCTGTACAAGAACGTGTCGCACGAACGGCATCAGTCCCCGACGAAGATATGCGTCGTATGATAATTCCGTACGTGACCGCGATTTGCGGAGAGAGATTTAACTCGTCCGTGGAAGCTTGCGTCGGGCACGTTGAAGCGAGACTTTGAATATTCCTCGGATATCGGCGAGATTTGCGGGCTTTAATGTATGCCAATCGGCTAGAAAGAAAAAAAAAACAAGCGGTCCGGCGTACATTTCAGATTTCATAAACTTTGAAATAAGGAAGTAAAAGTTGAAAAGAGATCCACTATTTATGTCGGCTTAAAAAAACATAATTTTTGAAAATAACGGAAAGTGATGCATTTTAATTTTTTCTCTTGTTTTAACTAAGTCTTCTAAAATCGTGAGAATTGCTGCTGCGCGCAACATACCTTATACCAAGAGGAAGAACGAGTGCAGCCTGTTCTATGTTGTCAAAGTAGTTCTCATAAATGTTGACGATGTTATTCTGCAGTACACAGCGTTCCATACGCTAATACGAATAAGTTAATAAATTAAATCTCTTGATAAATTAATTCTCTTATCTTATACTAGATATTTTTACTGCATTAAAGATTCTTTAAGGAGTTTAAACCCGTTTTTATCTTAATTAAGATTACAAAACAAGATTTTGTACATGAACGTACAAAATCGTTTTAGCTTCTATGTTTTTAATTTTAATTGTGCCTTTAATTAATCGTATCCTTAAAACGTGCGACGCGTAGAATATAAAAATCAAGGAAGTTTATCAAAAACTGAATAGCTAATATCGAAATATTTTACACAAATAATTTATTTTTTTTTATGTAAGGCGCTTTAAATGATGAAAAGGCGGTACTTTGTAACAGATATATTTCAAAGAGCGGGGCTCACGTCAGTGAGGCTCTTCATCTTCGGCGCCCAATACTCGTTCTTCATCACGCGCCGACGAAATCTCAGCACGGCTTCCTCGTCCTTCACGTTTATCTCCTTAGGCCAACCGCCCTCCAAGTGTAACACCCCACTCTCCTTTATTACCTTAGTGGAAGTCTGCATCTGACGTATAAAAATAAAAAAAAAGATATATTACGAGATATCACCGCGCGCGACGATGGAGTTGTAAAAGCGATCTTCACTTCTAACCGATATTTTTTTCTTCTTTATTGCAAATGTAAAACCTAACGCCCCATATTTAAACGCTTGAACACCCTTGAGAAACGACGTCACGGCGTTAAAGCGATTTACTTTAAAGAGGAAACGCGCAATCTCTCAAGTCCGCTTTTTCGCTGTGTTTTACACTGTCAATCTATATAGCTCCTCATAGCTCGGCTTAACCGTTCCACAGACGCAAATCCTTATTCATTATGGAATTGATAAACTATTTGTGAGGCATTTTAACGTAAACCCACGTTTATGGCATGTGTCGTCAGGGATATGTTCATAAATATTGATTCTTTATGTTTTTGCGCAATTTTATCTAGTAAACTTAATTTTTTTATTGTGACAAATATGTTGTTTACGGTATAAACCGATGCGAGATGCGCCGCGAAACAGTATTATGATTGAATTAAACCTTCCGCGAGTTTTATTTCGCGCGCACTCCCGGATTAAAAAGCCAGGCTTTTCATTTGTAAATTTTACTTTTTTTTTTTAGAATCGTGCGTATACAACATTTAATTTAAACTGACATAATTCTGATTCCCTGAAATGTAAAAAAAAATTAGGGAGGCTGACGACGTATTTACATGTCCGACATTACTTATTAATTCTTGGAAATTAAATGCCGCGAACACTAAACTTGCTACAGAATTAGTTCGACGATGACTCAGCAGAGCTATTTTCATAATCCCAGCTTAAATCCTATGATATACAAAGTCTGGAATATAGAAACTCATTAGCGTTTAGCCGGGGGCTTAATTTACGGGTAATCATTTATGCCGCTGATGATGATACATCTCGAAGGCGTGCGCAACATTATGTTAACATAATAAGAGAATAATCTGCGCATATTTAAGATCTTATTCTAATAATCTCTAATATCCACCTGTTCTTAAAACTTATAATGCTCTCCAACATTTTATCTGCGATCATTATTCTAATATTTTCTTCTCCTGAAAGAAGCTTTTTATTGCATAATTAGCTAATCATATTCCTTTGATTTAAGAAAAAAACTATGTGAAAACTAATAATGACAAAGAGAGTTAAGAAAAAAAATAATTAATAGGATTAATAATATTAATAATAAATATTAGAATTAATAATCAACACATTAATAATATTAATAATAATAATAATATTAAGATTAACAATCAGCACTTAAAACTTCTCGCTGAAACTTCGATTCATTTCTGCAATAATTTTCTTACCTCATGAAGAGCGAATTGCTGTGACATCTGTACACCGCGGTGGCAATGGCTCAAGTGGATGTAGTCTCGCATGAGTTCCGGATCCGGCAGGATATTCTCCTGAACGATCGGTTCGGTTTCGCCGAAGAAGCATTGCTTACCGAACTCCGACCTTGGCTTGATGTATGCGTAGTGGATCAGCATTATCGGAAACCGTTCTCCAGGTCGCGGTGGGAACGTACGTGAAACGAGGTGAGGAGAAGAGAGGAAAGGAGAGGATGACACACTTACGCAAACAGTGCCGCGGCACCTCCGTTAAATTATTTAGAGGGTGGGAAAAGGAAATCGGCGGACGGTTGCAGCGCTTTATCTTAACCGCTGATACTTTTCACGCACGAGCGCCTGACGTCGATCGTGATACGCGATACGCTCGATATGGCGTGAAGGGCCATTAAGGTGATGTTCAGCTTGTGAAACACGACACGCGAATGAAGGATGGCGTTATGCACGGCGTCTTGATCGCTCGGGAAGATCGATGTCACGATTGTATATGTGATCCTTTGCATATTAATGATAAATTATAATAAGATTATAAATATAAGTGCGGAAATTATGAAAATTCCAAAAAGAAAAATATTTTTATAAAAATGGACAGGAGAGAAATGGACAGGATGAAGAAGGAAAGTTTCCTTAGTTTAAAGTCATTTCATGATCTTATTTTCTATATAATGAGAGTAATTTTTCCAATTCGTTTTGTCTGACGGCAAAAATCGAGAGATTTTCGAAGAAATCGCATAAAAGCGGACGGAGTAATCTCCAATCTCGTATAGGCACATAGGAAATATTTCTTTCTTTGCCAAATAGAAAGTAGATCTCGAGTCTCAAAAGAAATTGTTTTGGACTTTGAAATGAACCCATACGCGGCACGGCGTAGCAGAGGGCTCGCGGAGAAAAACCTCCGCATAATCTCCTACAGGGCGCTCTGTTACCGCGGTACATCCTCTTTGTGCATCGGCGATTTGATTGCGCGTCAATTCGCCGCTGCTGGATGCACTCTATGGAATTACGGTACCGGACGCGCATTCTCGTGCCGTCGGGCCATCGCGATGACATTATCCCTTCGCCGAGAGAGCACTCACAATTTCTGCGGTCCGCAATCCGGCGTCCGCCAATCAACGCTTTCGTGCCGTCCGATAAATCGGACGAGCCTGCCGCCGGGCGCTGCACCTAATGAATCAGATTTGATGCGAAGCCACCGGCATTGTGTGATCGATTATCCTGCGTGCGCGGCGACACGAATCTGGAACTTGGCGATACCCCAATGCCAGATTCAATTTGCAAATTTCTAATGGGATCGGCTAGTCGAAATTTTAAGAAATTGGAGCTGCGCAACTATAACAATAGCTATTAGCGCCGAGGCTATAACTGTTACACGTTACAAAATGGATAGTCGAAAGCGACTTCTAAAATGAAGTTCTTTATTAAGTTATTAGTTTATTATTTTTATCGCTTGTATAATTTTATTTGACTTTTACTATCCCCGCATGAATAATTATCTTGTTTTCAATCGCATTATAATTTTCACGGTAATTTACATGGAAAAAGCATAGTATAATCTGTTCATGTTCCGAACATGAAAAATTATATTAAGTTTGTTATTTATAAATATTTTTATAGTATGAAAAAACAGAATATTTATTTTTCAAAATTTTAAAGTCTGAATTTTATTTTGCCGGATTTTAAAAAAATCCGTCCAACATATTTCACGTACCTAACAGCTTTATTGAAAATTACAAACAGCTAGTTTAAATGAAAATTACGGTATGCGGTGACATAATGAGGCACCAAATTGAAGCTCCACGAAATTGCAGGCGCAACCGCGGACAGTTTGCGTAAAACTATAACGACAATGTTATTCCGCGAGTTCCCGAACGGAATTCCCCAATCAATACCCTCGTACGAGTTCTCAAATCAGATAATCCCGGAGACTGAGCCGCTCGTAATAAATCCAATCGATCGAATCGGGAAGGCCGCGGTCGCGTATGTGCGACGACACATATTGAAGATAAGCCCGAAGCGCGCCGCTAAAGCAATTTAGCCACGCGGATTCTAAACCCCACGGTAGCGGCGCGGCGACGCGAGTGGAAAGTTCGGAATGGAATTTGCACGGACCCCCGATCCCGCGATTCTAGAGTTCTCCGAATTTTGGTGGCAATTAGGACCGAATGTTCAATGGACGATCTCCGGACGGCGCGGATGGCACGGCGAAGTTACGAGAGGAACTAGAAATTAGTTTGGGCGTCGAAAATGAAATGATAGGAGTGACGGATTGTGACATTTATATTGTAATTCTATATATAAATTCGCGAATATACGTTACATACATATGTGCATTTTGAGCAGACACATTGTAACTTTGACACGTTTGAACATTGCAATATCGATCAAGCCTCCCTCTCATCGCGCACTTCAATCGTTCATAACTTTTACTCAGCAAACCGCGCACGTTTCATATACGTGTTACGTCAAAATTTCCAGTGTAACCACAATAGTTTTCGAAATTCAAATAAAAATCCAAATGTATTCTTTTCGAATCGCGAGTGCATCTATCATTTTTGCACGACTCTTTTATTAACTACGGAAAATGGTCGGCGCAATCACGGCTTTATTTTGCCCGATAATATTTTGACATCTCTGAAATGTTACTTCGACCTTAATAAGCGAGAAATCGACGATAGAAAAGCATTGGGGAAGGTAACAAGATCAAAGTCCAACTACGGGAATTCTATCCTGAAGCTTCCCAGTGAAAGATGTTGAGAGCTCTCTGGCGTAAGGTAAAGTTGGAAGTCTTAACTTACACCGAGCAAAATGTGTGTTAAAAGAACCGTAAAGATTTGACTCGTGCATTTTATACGGAGACAGTGTGCTCTACACAGGCGAGGCACCGCCTTACATTTATTAAGAAATCCGGCTTGTTCGCTGACGAGCGAGAGAGCAAACTCTATAATATCGCAGGCACTTCGAAGATTTTATATGTCACGCGTAAATAATACGTCTTCTCATCCAGGAGTCCACAAAGACGACCTCGGAGCCGCATTTGTTTGCGAAGCCAAGAATACCGGTCGGAGAATTTGATCAAAGTGGAATCTCGTTCGTCCCAATAGAGAAAGATTTGCGAGATGAATATTTTGCCGAGAATCTTGACATTTTTGTCGCATAAGAAATTGCGAGTGACACACGCGTTAAACGAATCCCTGAGGCTTCGGCAAAAATTACTGGCATCACGTGCTGTTCCAAATCGCATGATTTCGTATGGAAATTTTAATATCAATAGAAAGAATTCTATAACTTGCGATAATTTTTTACTTCCGCGACGTAATATTAGCAATGGCAATGGCATAATTACGCGATTTAAACGAGAGAAGAGTACGCAGTCCGGCAAAAAGGACGACTCGAAACCGCACCGAGAACGCGTCGAGGATCATCGACAGTCCGCGGAAGAACCGCGCGAATGGCGTAGCGATGGCTATCAGATACCGGCAGAGAATTATCAAAAGACTTGCAGCGACTCGTTGAATCATCATCAGTCGATCGAATCCAATTCCCCGATCCACTCGAACAAGCCTGTGTCGTACAGCAATCGGCAGGCGTGCAGCGAATCATCGAAACACGAGTCTCGTAAATCGACACGGGCGACTCGAATAACGTCGAAGAAATGGATTTGCAGGAAGCCGGCGACGGAGAGTAAGATTTATCACAAATGCAAGCCGAAGTCGCGCACTTATCCGGACGGCCGGGAGGAAACGATCGGTTTCCCGTCGTCGCAAGATTATTGCGAGGACAAGTCGCGGCAAGCTGCATCTCATCCTTCTACACGGCTACGTCCCGAATCGGAGCCTTTGCCCAGCAAAAACGTTACGTCGTGCAAGAAAGTAACTTGTCCCGAGGAACGCGAAGCAAAAAAAAAAAAGGAGTACCCTGCGTCAGATATGTACGAGTACCGCAGAAAACCCGATCCTCCGCCACCGAGACAGCCACACTGGAGTGAGAATCTCCCGTCTTACTGCGACCCCAGCCTGAAGAAGACGACGACGACCCGTTCATCCCCCGTTAAAGCCTCACCAATGATCTTCATTCCTGACAAAGGGTCGCGGAAATCCCGAGCGAGAGACACCGCGTCATCCCTGCAGAATATTCATAAGGCTTCCAAGGCTTCCGACGGCGGGAGTCCGAATGAGAAGGAGTGCGGCAGAACGGATACCAAGAAGGCGCCGCAGAAGCTGGACGAATCGAGAAAATGTACATCACGCTGCACGATCTCCTTCGAGGACAGATGCGCCACTTCTTTGACAATTCCCCCGCCGACCGTTAACAGAACAATGGACTCTAGAAGTAAGCAATTTCCAACGTTCACGAAAGACGGTCGCTGCGCCGAGAAAGCCAAAAAGAAATCTGTCTGCACGACGGACTTTGTCAGCGATTGCAGTCCCAACATGGCGAGTTTCAAGTATCGATTGAGTAAATGTCCTCCCATTAAGGAAATGTGGAGTATCGGCGTCAAACGCGAGCCACCTGTTGACGTTAGTGTGCGGCAAGACGCGTTCAACTGTAAGAAGTCGAAGAGGCCAGACTCGCGGCCGGAAACCGCGAGCGCGAGACGAAGGCTCGGAACGAGGCTCAAGTCGCGGGCGCCCGCGACTAGCAACGGGTGGACACGACAGAAGTACAAGGTCCGCCTGAAGATTTTTCGGAAGGAAAATACCCTCGATCCCTGTCTGCCGCAAATCGTCGAACTGAGACAACCGCGCGGCGAAAAAACGCGACCGAGGCAGTCGAAGTTCGCCGCGGACGAAGGCGAGCACTTTTCGCAATCGGAAAGCTCGCATTGCCGTCCATCCAAGTTGACTACCGAGACTGAGTCGATTACCGAGACGAAGAGCTATCCGACGAAAATGAACGAGAGCAGGGTGATTCGCGATCAACACAAGGGAAAACAACTTTGCAAAAAGAGTCGCTGAGCTTCCGGAAACTACTTTGCGATGTAGAATATTTGGAGGTCGCGTTGATGGATGGAGAGTCAACATTTATATTTTAAGAATATGTTCGAAACTTGCACTTGCTTCAGTTACTTTCGGTATGAAATATGAAATTTAATGCATAGAAAATAGACGTAAATACGTAATAAGCGCGAAATAAAGGTTTAAAAAATAGTACACGCGTGCGGCATTATTTTATAGCAAACATTTCAGATACACCTTAATTATCAATAAATGTAACGTTATCAAAAAGTATAGTGCTTGCTCAACTATAATACGTAATTACTATGTATTGTATAATTATTACTATCATAGTTATCTTACGCAATTATGTAATTCCACTAAAATGACGACAGAATTTTTGCGACAAAAAAATTTTTAGACCGCCCATTTGATTTATTATGCTCTTTGTTTATATTAATAGGAAGTAGCATAACAGCTTTTTAAGTGAAATATATGCACGAGACATGCAAAGGCGACATTATAAAGGTGTGCGCGAAGGGAAGCGCGGAAATGAAAAAATGCAGCTCACGTGGCCCGAGACGGCTGCAAAAGAAGTCTGTTCGCAGCAGCTGGCCCCCAACTTTTCACGTTTATCATTATCTCACCCTCTCATCGTGCACCCTTATTTTTGCACTCGGAACAAACTTGCGCATCAAACGCCGCTGTTTTATGGCCGGTATACATTTTCATTCCTGTCGAGAAATGATATATCTCATAGCCCTAATAAACGCGACTCGGGTTTTAGTGAGCATTTATCTTGTCTGCATCGGAAATAATGGGAAAAAAATAAAAACGCACGAGTTCGCGTTAATCCAATTCCAATAATTAATGCGGAGGTCGTGCTAAATTTTGCATCTTCCAGATTTATGTGTTCTCTCCATTTTTACAAAATATTAACGCTGTAAAACTGTTATAATTAAGCTCTTTAATTAATCATTAATTAATTTTTATTATGACGTAATTTGACAAATAAGAGAGAGAGAGAGAGAGAGCTTAGATATTAAATTGTTATATGTGTCTAAAATGTTTGAGGTATTAAAATTACAATTTATATTTAATCAAATTTAAGTCGATTAAAGAATTCCCAGAAATAATCCACGATTGAAATATCATAGGCTAATGGAAATCTGCGCGGAAATTTTTCAAAGTTTTATAATTGTTACAATGTTCAACCATATACAAACTGCGCGCCGTAATTTTTGTCGATCTCGAAACAATCCTTTTGCGTAAAGCCGGTACTTGTAACTAATTAGAATTAAATTGACGAACAATTTAATATCATTTGATGTTAATAAGCATCTATAAGAATCCCCTTTCCTCAAATCTGTAAAGAATTGATTGCCAAAAATATCACCTCAGCTTCCAGCCAGGTACGTATATGTACCTAATCATCTTACACACACTTATCTTACACAATTGTACACGATGTACATTTCTTTCGAATTCTAAATTTGATTTGATTTATACATTTAAATATATTTTTGAATGCATTCATATATTTAGCTGTACATTTAGCCGTATGTATTTATCCATTTAGCCTTACTTCCTACATTCATTTAACGAGTTCGTAATACATACAAGCGCGACGGATGTTACATCGCTCCAGTGAGTTCAAAATTGCTATCCATTTACAAGTACATTAACCTGCGTGCACTCGTTTTTTTCCCTTCATTGAGATCGCACGCGATTAAGGAGTAAACGGTAAAGCAGCGGAAGAAACGATCGCTTCTCTCGTAATGTTCACGATTGTTAACTTCTAATTGAACATCGAACGAATAGCCGGTGGGCCCCAGGTCGGTCGTTTGCTCTAACGGGCACGAAATAACAAAAACCGCGGTGACATTTCGCGATACTCATACGGAACGGTTTCGCATTGTTACAGATAAATGATGATTGGTTCCACATGGAGCATCGATCCGTGGCGAAGAGGTCGACGGAACCGCATCTCGAAATGCACCAAAGGCTAATGAATGACTTCAGAGTACGTCGAGCGGAGCAACAGCGGGCAAAATCGCGCACTAAAAGGGATCTTATAATCAAACGTCCGTCCAATATACTAACCATGCTAAACGATGAGAGGTGGCCTCAGATGTGGTATCTGGTAAGCAATTTTAATCAAGAGCACGTTACACCCTGTGTGCACGACAAAATTATCATGTTGCACCGATAAATAAACACACGTGCAGATTTTATAAAGTTTGAGATATCAAAGATAAAGGGAGAATATTCAAATAGAAAGTTTAGCAAGTAATACATGTTTTCCGATATCAAAGAGATACAGTCATATCGTAAACATCTAGCGATCAATATTTCCAGTTTAAATCAAAGTTTACATTCAATTTAGCAATAATTGCACGTGATATTATCTTTGACTATATAAATATGGACTACTAGTTTTCCCACTTTTACTATGTAAAAGACATATGCCCGGTGTCGCTGAACTAAAGTTGGTTGAGGTATCGAACTTTGACTTTCAGGCTCTACCCCAGTCAGTAAAAAAATGTCAAATATGTCAAAATGTACATTAAATGTTATGTTGAAAATTGATAGGGAGCCAAAAAAAATCTCAAATCGACGGAATGAAATTAAAAACAGATTCTGCACCTTTCCTTTACATGTCGTAAACACGCTAATTTTACAGGAGCCTTCCCCCTCCCCGCAGAAAATTACTGACTGGGGGTGGAGTCTACATCTTCCAGCTTGGCGACACGTATGAAGTTAATTACTATCAGTCCATACTTATATATAGCCAAAGGATTTTATTAACAAACATGAAAGTAGATATGCAGTAGTATTTTATAACATCTTTTTAAAAAAGTATGATTAATGAAAACAATATAAATAACTGCACTATTGGAATTTGTGTTACATTTAACACGTTTTACATGTCCTAAACGGTCCATTTAAATTTTTGTGTTAATTTAACATGAGATGAATATTTTAGAAAGTAACATAAATATTGTATTAAAAAATTAACATTAAAAAATGTAACACTGACACAATTTGTAAGCAAACTGTGGAAGCATATTTTTCAATAAAATTAACATTTATGGTATGTTAAATTAGCACGCATTTTATTTATTTATATTAGAATTTACGTTTTAAAATACATTATTTTTATGTTATTTGTCCACTCACTCATAAATTGTATTATTTTGACACTAAAAAATATTGATCAATCAATTTAACACAAAATATTGAAATAACACATAATCATATTATGTTAAATTAACACTTGAATATGTTAAAAATGCCAACATCAAAATTTTAACAGACAATTTGAGTAGACCCTTTCTAACATAAATACAAAATAATCATAAATAGCTCAATAATGCCTTTGCGAACCGACATGGATGTTGGTGTAATAATTTTGACTGTTACAATATCAAGCGATATACAAACTGTGCACCGCATAAACTGTTGGTCTTGGAAACACAGCTCTGACATGAGGCCAGAATCCACTGTCACGAATTAAATTGTCCAACAATTTAATATTTTTAATGCTAATAAGCATCTATAAGAATCTTCTCCCCCCAAATCATAAATACAAAATGTTTTTTACTGTGTAAGTAAACAATGCAATAAAAAATTGTTTAAAAACAAATCAATCGATATGAACTCAAAAGGGCGCCGACATTTGAGAAAGATTCATAGATGAAGACTCACAGCGGGCAGTAGCATGTCGAAAGTATTGGATAATTTTTCCTTACAGAACAGGGGAAAGGGCTTGGACATGAACGTGCAGGGCGCTTGGGCTGAGGGAATTACTGGAAATGGCGTCGTGGTCACAATTCTTGATGATGGATTGGAGAAAGATCATCCTGACCTTTACAAAAATTATGTGAGTGTATTTCACTGTTCCCTTTATAAATTAATCGGCTTCCTGGATTTTATAAAAATATTAAAAAAAGAATCTTTTCTAGCGTGATAATAAAGCGAACACATTTGTAGCATTAAAAAGCTCTGCATTTAACTTACGTTTATAAAATATCGCGAAGCATCTGGAAGCAATTATGTGTAGAAGTAAATGGCGTTTTGTAACTTTTCATGACAGTTCCGGTAATCTTGTAAAGTAGCTTTCTATTTGATTAAATTTACGCGAATAAGCAACATCGCAGGCGCTTAATGTCTGCCTAACGTCACTCGATGGACGAATGCTCGATGCGTGAATACATTCGCTGACACGAAAGAAGAGAGAGATAGAGGGAGAGAGAGAGAGAAAGAAAGAGACGAGGAAAAGCTCCAGCGGAACGCGCAGTAGAATACGGTGGATGAAGGCGTATCGCGGATGCACCGGGAATATCGGCTCTTGAACGCGAATATTGGAAGGGTTTATCCAGTGCATATACAGTGTATATATACAGAATAGCTATTGATTCACGGATGGTTACATTGAATGAGGCATCTGCGCACGCAGTAGAAAGTGAATCGCATTAATCAGCCTGCAGTAGACACACGCTGCGATGGTGCGCCTTAGCGCGCTGCTCTGATTATGCGAGCTTATATCCCTTCGCATGCATTTCTCATTATGCAAATGATGCATAAATGAATAGGTATTAAGATATCCGGGTGTGCGTGATCAGGGATTTAAAGCGTATAATACTTCATCGCTCTAAGCGACAATAAAGTCTTATTGTTATAATCCCTCTGTTACAAATTATCTATTCGAAAGAATCTCTCTTTAGCTAAAGAAAATTTATTTTGCTTACAAAAATTTTTAACATTTATCATTTTTTATTAAAACCCTTATTGAAGTTCTCTCGCACAGTTTCACGATGTATGTACGCTTGTTACTTTTACAATTACTACCCGAAAAGAACGATTTTGTTGAAAGGTCTAAACATTTTGCTAAAAACAGATCTTAAAATAATTTTTTGTTAAATCATCAAAATAATTTGTTGGAATGTTAAAACTGATAAGCATT